TGCACATAGAATAAACTGAAACAGTTTATCTGTTGATAATATTCAACCTAATTTCCTATCTAGGTACGAATAAWAAAAAATTTAAATAAATAATAATATAATAGTTTTGTTTTGTAAATAAAACAAACACATATTTATGTATGTTCATAAATATTTTAAATATGCTGATATGCATAATAATAATAATAATAATAATAATAATAATAATAATAATAATATAATCATTGTATATTGTTAAACTCAGGATCGAAATGGCATAATAGAAGGAAGTTATTGACACCAACATTTCATTTTACTATTCTCGAGGAATTTATTCCATTGATAGAAAAACAAAGTAAAGTTTTAGTAAAGGTGTTAAAAAAAGAGGTCAATAACGATAATGGATTCGATATAAAGCCATACGCAAAATTGGCTGCACTAGATACCATCGGCAATACAGCTATGGGCTGTGAGATCAATTCACAGGAAAATTCCCAACTGGAGTACGTGAAGGCACTCGACGAGTGAGTAGAAATTTATGTACATACCTACCAAGATATAAAATGTATTGTACCGAAAACTATATAATATATAAAACTATCTGAACAATGAACTTTGAGGAGAAAGTAAAAAAAAAAATTCAAATGGATAAACGCCAATTTTTGCTTTTCAACCTTTAAATCTGTATTTATGTATTAAATATTTTTATTTATGATTTATCAAAACTATAATAGGTACTACTTAATTAACGAGTTATCAATTTATCATAAAARTAATCGTTTTGAAATGTAGAACTGAAGTTCAAATTTTTAATTTCAGACTTACTGCAATCATGCAGAAACGGTTTATAACACCGTGGTTGAAACCAAACTTATTATTCAACTTAACATCTCTTAGTAAAAGACAAAAGGCATGTATAGACGTTATACATACATTCACAAGAAAGGTAATGTCATTGAAATTAACTATTATCCGCAAAATTATGATTATAAATAAGTACTTACCAACTGTAGGTACGTTTTTGTATAATATAACCATAGATATTTTTAATTTATTATAGGTCATTAAAGAGAGAAAAGAAAACTTCAAGTTATTTAATGATCAGATTTCAGATGCGAATAAAAATGAAATTCAGCATGGTAAAAATTACACTGTGATACGTGTTGATAG